TCAAAAATGTTATTTTAATTGTTTTGTTTATAACGTTTTTGAAATGGTTTTTGTGACATTTGTACAACGTCTTAATGTGAGGATTACAACATTTTAACAACATTCTTAAAATGTTCTGCCTATATCATATCACTGACATTCTAATGATGTTAGAAAAACGTTTCTTTTCTTCTTTGAAAACATTTGTATGATATAAAGAAAACCTTTCATTTGGACCGTTTGTAAGATCTTTTTTAAACATTTTGAAAAACGTTCAAAAATGTTATTTCAATTGTTTTGTTTATAACATTTTTGAAATATTTTTTGTGACATTTGTAAGACGTCTAAATGTAAGGATTACAATATTTTTACAACATTTTATAAATGTTTTTGTTATATCATATCTATAACATTTAAAAGATGTTGTAAAAACGTTTCTCTTCTTTTTTGAAAACATTATTATGATTACACGAGCACATTACATGTGGACTGTTTGTAAGATGTTTTTTAAACATTTTGAAAAACATTCAAAAAATGTTTTTAATTGTTTTGTTAAAAACATTTTTGAAATGTTTTTTGTGACATTTGTAAGACGTCTAAATGTAAGGATTACAATATTTTAACAACATTCTTAAAATGTTCTTTTTACATCATATCAATTACATTCTAATGATGTTAGAAAAACGTTTCTTTTCTTCTTTGAAAACATTTGTATGATATAAAGAAAACATTTCATATGGACCGTTTGTAATATCTTTTTTAAACATTTTGAAAAACGTTTAAAAATGTTATTTTAATTGTTATGTTAAAAACATTTTTGAAATGTTTTTTTTGGTGACATTTGTACAACGTCTTAATGTGAGGATTACAACATTTTAACAACATTCTTAAAATGTTCTGCTTATATCATATCAATGACATTCTAACGATGTTAGAAAAACGTTTATTTTCTTCTTTGAAAACATTTGTATGATATAAAGAAAACATTTCATTTGGACCGTGTGTAAGATCTTTTTTAAACATTTTGAAAAACGTTTAAAAATATTATTTTAATTGTTATGTTTATAATGTTTTTGAAATGGTTTTTTGTGACATTTGTAAGACGTCTTAATGTAAGGATTACAATATTTTAACAACATTCTTAAAATGTTCTTTTTATATCATATCAATTACATTTAAAAGATGTTGTAAAAACGTTTCTTTTCTTCTTTGAAAACATTTGTATGATATAAAGAAAAAATTTCATTTGGACCGTTTGTAAGATCTTTTTTAAACATTTTGAAAAACGTTAAAAAATATTATTTTAATTGTTATGTTTATAACGTTTTTGATATGTTTTTTTTTTTACATTTGTACAACGTCTTAATGTAAGGATCACAATATTTTAACAACATTCTTAAAATGTTCTTTTTACATCATATCAATTACATTCTAATGATGTTAGAAAAACGTTTCTTTTCTTCTTTGAAAACATTTGTATGATATCACGAAAACATAACATGTGGACCGTTTGTAAGATGTTTTTTAAACATTTTGAAAAACATTCAAAAAATGTTATTTTAATTATTTTGTTAAAAACATTTTTGAAATGTTTTTTGTGACATTTGTACAATGTCTAAATGTAAGGATTATAATATTTTAAAAACATTTTAAAAATGTCTTTGTTATATCATATCTATAACATTTAAAAGATGTTGTAAAAACGTTTCTGTTCTTTTTTGAAAACATTATTATGATATCACGAAAACATTACATGTGGACTGTTTGTAAGATGTTTTTTAAACATTTTGAAAAACATTCAAAAAATGTTATTTTAATTGTTTTGTTAAAAACATTTTTGAAATATTTTTTGTGACATTTGTACAACGTCTAAATGTAAGGATTACAATATTTTTACAACATTTTTAAAATGTTTTTGTTATATCATATCTATAACATTTAAAAGATGTTGTAAAAACGTTTCTTTGCTTCCTACAAAACATTGTTATGATATCACGAAAACATTACATGTGGACTGTTGTAAGATGTTTTTTAAACATTTTGAAGAACATTAACAAAATGTTTTTTTCATTTGTTTTGTTAAAAACATTTTTGAAATGTTTTTTGTGACATTTGTACAATGTCTAAATGTAAGGATTATAATATTTTAAAAACATTTTTAAAATGTCTTTGTTATATCATATCTATAACATTTAAAAGAGGTTGTAAAAACGTTTCTGTTCTTTTTTGAAAACATTATTATGATATCACGAAAACATTACATGTGGACTGTTTGTAAGATGTTTTTTAAACATTTTGAAAAACATTCAAAAATGTTATTTTAATTGTTTTGTTAAAAACATTTTTGAAATGTTTTTTGTGACATTTGTCCAACGTCTAAATGTAAGGATTACAATATTTTTACAACATTTTTAAAATGTTTTTGTTATATCATATCTATAACATTTAAAAGATGTTGTAAAAACGTTTCTTTGCTTCCTACAAAACATTATTATGATATCACGAAAACATTACATGTGGACTGTTGTAAGATGTACTTTAAACATTTTGAAGAACATTAAAAAAATGTTTTTTTATTTGTTTTGTTAAAAACATTTTTGAAATGTTTTTTGTGACATTTGTACAACGTCTTAATGAAAGGATTACAATATTTTTAAAACATTTTTAAAATGTTTTTGTTTTATAATATTTATAACATTTAAAAGATGTTGTGAAAACGTTTCTCTTCTTTTTTGAAAACATTATTATGATATCACGAAAACATTACATGTGGACTGTTTGTAAGATGTTTTTTAAACATTTTGAAAAACATTCAAAAAATGTTATTTTAATTGTTTTGTTAAAAACATTTTTGAAATGTTTTTTTGTGACATTTGTAAGACGTCTAAATGTAAGGATTACAATATCTTTACAACATTTTAAAAATGTTTTTGTTATATCATATCTATAAAATTTAAAAGATGGTGTAAAAACGTTTCTTTTCTTCTTTGAAAACATTTGTATGATATAAAGAAAACATTTCATTTGGACCGTTTGTAAGATGTTTTTTAAACATTTTGAAAAACATTCAAAAAATATTATTTTTATTGTTTTGTTAAAAACATTTTTGAAATGTTTTTTGTGACATTTGTACAATGTCTAAATGTAAGGATTATAATATTTTTAAAACATTTTTAAAATGTCTTTGTTATATCATATCAATAACATTTAAAAGATGTTGAAAAAATGTTTCTCTTCTTTTTTGAAAACATTATTATGATATCACGAAAACATCACATGTGGACTGTTTGTAAGATGTTTTTTAAACATTTTGAAAAACATTCAAAAAATGTTATTTAAATTGTTTTGTTAAAAACATTTTTGAAATGTTCTTTTGTGACATTTGTAAGACGTCTAAATGTAAGGATAACAATATCTTTACAACATTTTAAAAATGTTTTTGTTATATCATATCTATAACATTTAAAAGATGTTGTAAAAACGTTTCTGTTCTTTTTTGAAAACATTATTATGATATCACGAAAACATTACATGTCGACTGTTTGTAAGATGTTTTTTTAACATTTTGAAAAACATTCAAAAAATGTTATTTAAATTGTTTTGTTAAAAACATTTTTGAAATGTTCTTTTGTGACATTTGTACAACGTCTAAATGTAAGGATTACAATATTTTTACAACATTTTTAAAATGTTTTTGTTATATCATATCTATAACATTTAAAAGATGTTGTGAAAACGTTTCTTTGCTTCCTTCAAAACATTGTTATGATATTATAAAAACATTTCATGTGGACTGTTTGTAAGATGTTTTTTAAACATTTTGAAAAACATTCAAAAAATGTTATTTTAAATGTTTTGTTAAAAACATTTTTGAAATGTTTTTTGTGACATTTGTAAGACGTCTAAATGTAAGGATTACATCATTTTTACAACATTTTTAAAATGTTTTCGTTATATCATATTGATAACATTTAAAAGATGTTGTAAAAACGTTTCTGTTCTTTTTCGAAAACATTATTATGATATCACGAAAACATTACATGTCGACTGTTTGTAAGATGTTTTTTAAACATTTTGAAAAACATTCAAAAAATGTTATTTTAAATGTTTTGTTAAAAACATTTTTGAAATGTTTTTTGTGACATTTGTAAGACGTCTAAATGTAAGGATGACAATATTTTTACAACATTTTTAAAATGTTTTCGTTATATCATATTGATAACATTTAAAAGATGTTGTGAAAACGTTTCTTTGCTTCCTTCAAAACATTGTTATGATATTATAAAAACATTTCATGTTGACTGTTTGTAAGATGTTTTTTAAACATTTTAAAAAACATTCAAAAAATGTTATTTTAAATGTTTTGTTAAAAACATTTTTGAAATGTTTTTTGTGACATTTGTACAACGTCTAAATGTAAGGATTACAATATTTTTACAACATTTTTAAAATGTTTTTGTTATATCATATTCATAACATTTAAAAGATGTTGTGAAAACGTTTCTTTGCTTCCTTCAAAACATTGTTATGATATTATAAAAACATTTCATGTGGACTGTTTGTAAGATCTTTTTTAAACGTTCTACAATAATGTTCAAAAGATGTTTTAAAAACATTTTCCGAAAATCATCGGAATTGGTACATTAAAAAAATGTTTTTATAATGTTTAACATAATAGCAATAATGTTTTTTAAATGTTATAATGACATTTTAAAGAAATGTTCTCTTTAAGACATTCTCAAGACCTTATGAAAATGTTATGATAACGTTATGTGTTAGCTGGGCTATATAGCCGATAAGCCTTTTGCTCGCCAGCCACTGAATTTTTCATCATTAAATAAAAGTTTAGCTTTTAAAAATCCAATTTATCCAAATCTATATATCAAAAAAAGTAAATCTAATTTTAAAGGAATAAAAATCCTGCCGAGAAGAGGCGTAAATATTCACTTCTGAATGAAAAACGCCTATAAATTAAAACAACAACAACAACAAACAACAAACCCTACGCGACCTTTATTATTATTATCTTTTAACGAAACCCGATTGTAAACATTGGCTCTTCCACTTTGGGAAATCTTTCGATTTTATCTTGGAGAGGCACCTTTCGGGGCAATATTTTCACAATTCAAGAACAAGCAGATGAAGTGAGTTAAATAGATGCAGATTTATGGTAATTTAGCGTATTACTGAAAGAGTCTTGACTGTCTAATGTCGGTCTGACTGCGCCTTTATTATTTATACGGTCACAAACCCGGAATCCAGCGGACTATACCGTTCATTGAAGACAGTCAATGGGTAAGGCGCGGCGCTCCGATCAGACCAAACCTTGGACAGTTGCTGAAGCTGTGCTGTGCATATATGCGGAACTGTTATTGCATCAACCATAGCACTAGATCGTCATTTGTGTGTGTATGACTTATTGATAATTGATGGAATCAAATAATTCCAAATTCTTACATTTTTATCCAGTTCAACTTTACTTTATTTATAGTCTAGTTGTTGTTGTTCATTCTTCGCTGAATTTCTTGTTGGGTTTTACTTATACTAGATCTAGACCCTAGTAATATAAAGTAATAGGCCTTGACCGAATTTTTCTGTCTCTTTCGTTCGTTAGCCTCTGATTTAAGGTCGGCTCTCTCTTTAGAGACAGAACAGCCCTAGAGGTCTATACGCTTTAGTGTTCACGCGTTTGTGTAAAGCAACGTTACACAAAACTTGGCCAAACTTAATCCCTAATTTTGATATTTTACCGGATGCGTATCTGATGCATTTATAGTCCAAAATTAGCTACATGCTTAACTACTTCGGTTCCACGTACCAACTTGACTACTTGAATCCGTTTAATGGTCCCTTTTCAGGAAAGTATGGGTCAAGATCGACATCCATGAAAAAAAATTTGCAGCCAGGTTGCGTATGACGTCATCTAAATCTCATCCCTTCTAGTCTACGCCAAAGGCAAAATGATAATAACAGAAAATTGTGTATGTCATTACGAACTTGTAGCTCGTGCACAGTTTTTCCTTAATTTTCCATAATTTCCTGAAAAGGGACCATTAAACGGATTCAAGTAGTGAAGTTGGTAAGTGGAACCGAAATAGTTAAGCATGTAGCTAATTTTGGACTATAAATGCATCGCGGATACGCATCCGGTAAAATATCAAAATTAGGGATTAAGTTTGGCCAAGTTTTGTGTAACGTTTCTTTACACAAACGCGTGAACACTAAAGCGTATAGGGCTGTTCTGTCTCTAAAGAGAGAGCCGACCTTACCCAAATCAGAGGCTAACGAACGAAAGAGACAGAATAATTCGGTTTATAATAGGCCTAGATCTACTAGTGAGTACTAGACCCTATATACCCAGTCAAGTTATTCATCAAAGACAATGATGATAAGAATAAGATGACCTGTTTCTTTTTCTCTGGCTCAAATATTGATTCAGTCATTTCAGTGTTTCATTTTTCTTCAATATTTGCTCCTCGCATAATGGTCGCCACTGAGTTATGGCTGTATGATAATTGTATGACTATGAGTATGAGAGTATGAGATTAAATCACAAAGCCTTGACTCATTTATATGGTGTGATTGTTGATCTAATGTAATGTGATAGTGATGTTATTATCCCGGCTCTTTTTTTTTTTTTAATCACGCAAGTCATATAATTCACATTTCTTTATGTCATTCGGATAACTCAGACTCACAGAGCTCAGTAAAAAGCATCAATTTGTTATTGTGCAAAGTTGCCAATGATTTACAGGTAAAAAACCCACAGTGGTTTACCATTTCAATACCTGAACAAGTACTAAATGTACACATCGCTCGTGGTCCCCGGTCATTGGATTAATTCCCGCAATCTCGGCTCCCTTGGGAGTATTCCTACCAAATTGTCACTGTGAGGGCATATGGCAATACTAACACAAAGGCCTACAACTAGTACAAGCACGGATGCTGTCCTGGAGGGGGCGATGCTGTGCATAAAGCTGTTGTAGTGACTTAAATTCCTGACCGTTGATTTCAAGTTTACCTCTAGATCTATCATCATTCATCATCAATATGTATTATTCCCTCTTATGATTTTGAAAGTACCTCCTGGACCTGCTGATGATTGAAGTCACCTGGATCTCAAGCAGCTGTAACTGTGGCTGCATTAATCATGTTAGATGTGGAGGTTGTACCTGGTCGTTCCCTTGGCAGCGAGCAATGGGAATTTGTCCTGGGTAAGTCCGTATCCTATGATTGCATGCTAGAAAGTCAGCAGTGTCACTTCATATTCAAAGAGTACAAATAAAATAGTACTTAAACTAAAAAAATACCCCATTTTTCACAGACGTTGCTTTTGCGTTATAAATACGAGTCGCAGGTTCTTCTCTGAAATGTATGATCCATCCTTTTCCGGAAATTTCTTGCTATTTAAAAGAAAACATTCCATGTTTATTTTGTTCAAATCCATGAAAATTACCCCTTTATCACAAAATTTGATGGTGTGCTAGAAACTCAGTGGTGATCGATACAGTTACTTCATAACTTAACATACAAAGCATACAAAAGTACCCTATTTTTACAGAATTTGCATTTGCGTTGTGGATGCGAGTCCCTGGTTCCTCTTTGAAATGTATGACCATATTTCAGGAAATTTCTTGCTTTTTAAAACAAAACCTCCCCTGATTTTTTTTTGGTTCAAATCTGCAAGCATCCCTGAAAATTAACCCTTTTATCACAGAAATTTCTAACTATCATGCATACACCCCAATGACCCAATCACTATGAAGTTATATGATCAAGGCTTGAAATTATGTGATTAAAATTAACCCAGGACCTCTCGTTTGAGAGTCAAAAACCTTCAGCATCCAGTAATACCACATATTATATCTTTTCATAAATATGATTATTGATTGACTAATGAAGTTCCCCTGCTTTTGATGTAATTTCTGATTTTCAGGAATGACTTTCACGCAAGCGGTGAATATTCTACGGAGACAGTACAGGATCATTAAAGATGTCCAGGTCATATATTGTGAATCGGTACGCATGATAAATCTTCTATTGTCTAAATCTAAGTTTATAGTTATTCATGATGAAATTAATTTCATGCAGTAGTTAAGAAGAATGAAAGCTACACAAAATTAGGAATTTGCTGAAAATAAATGCTGAGTTGAACTGCAAACCACCAAAATGAATGTGGATATGTCTACAATGTTGGCTCAGTCAGTAGAGCTTACGCCTCACAACCGGGAGGTCGTGGGTTCGAACCCTGGCCGCCTCATACCAAAAGACGTTAAAAGATGGTAGTTGTTGCTACCTTGTTTGGCGTTCAACAATAAGGGATAGAGCAACGTCGATCTGGCGCTGCTCAGTGGCTGCCGGGCTCACGATCAATTGGGCAAAAAGAATTTCTGTTTCGGTTTAATAAAATTTGGAGTGGACTATTAGGCTATTATAATTATTAATATTATTATTATAAATAAATAGTCAACTCACATATGATGATGATGATTCACAGCATTTATATCGCGCCGTATATCTGTTTCAAGAAACATTCAAAGGCGCGAGCTCCTCCAATAAAAGTTAGCATTTAAATGTCTGAAGGAAGATGTGAGTTCTGACTAAAGCTTTGAAGGTTGTCATTTTTGCGAATAGATGGCATTTTTCTTCCCATAATTGTTATCAGGCCCTATGATTTTTCTATTACATTCTGTAAGAATGATATTTATTCATTAGGAACTCAATGCTGTGCTTTACAAATAACAGCTGCAGCAGCTGCCTAAAGTACTGGTACTGATTTTGTGCAATTCACATGTATATCCCATCTACATGTGCAATGTACATGTGTCTGTCCTAGAACAATGAATAATTACTGTCTGCATGTACAGTGTATGGCAATCAATACATTGTTTTTTTTTTTATGGTTCGCGTTGTAGTGAACCATTTACCGATGGTTTAATCTGTACGATCCTTTACTTTTATTCTGTACATGTAGGTTCCTCTCACGCTGGATCTGGTGCTGAATCTAACACAGGACGGGATCAAACTGATATTTGATTCCTTTAACCAGAGGCTTAAGGTAATTACACAATTCTACAACGTCTGCATCAGTGCCAATCGCTCCAGGATCTCTTTCCTGCCCTAACCGAATTCCTAACTTTCACTCAGGACCCAAAACTATACCGTTCCCCAAAGCTCATCCCCATACTAAAAGCTACAACCCAATTACATTTCTGAAACTATCCCTATACATATTAGAAGATTTTGGTGCAATAATGTGCCAACTCACAATATTTTTGTTATGATAAATGCAAATGAGAAGAACAAAAATCATAGCTTGTATAACACTGTGCAATTAAGGATTGTAAGCTGCCTTTGTTATTCAACCAAAATTATTATTTAAATGTCATAGTGTAGTGAATAAGACACATAATAATGAATGTAACTTTTTTTCTTCTAAATAGAGTAAGGGTTGGCAATAGAATATACCAACAATATCAAATGTTTGCAAAACAAACAAGTGCTGGACACTAAAGATAATGTTTACAGTCTGTACCACAATACAGGCTAGACTCCTTTCTTGTATCACTTCTTTGTTGCAATTTCCGCATGAGTTAAAGGTAAAGACCAGTTTTGGAAACGCCCCTCTCTCAAAAAATGAAATGGAAGCTCTTATTACCAATCATGTTGAATGAATATGTTTTGACTAATACGTGATGATACAAATTTTGCAGAGAAACCGACTACTAATTGATATATTTGGTAAATTATTATATCTATTTGGACCTAATAGATATCGCACACGTGTCGCGCACATGTCGGGTAGTCCCATATACATCTTTCTGTGTACAGTGCTTGTAACTTTACCAAGACTGGGCCAAATTTCTTATCATTTTGATGATTCCAGAACCTTGCAGTACACACCAATACTTATATGCTAGATGATCAACCTTTTCTGATCGATTCCACATCATTTCTTTCACAATGCAATGGCATGACCATAACTGGTCTTTATCTTTAAAGAATTCTGTTTTTAACTCTTTGAATGTCTTACAACATACTGTCGTATGGGATTCACATTCATGTTCACAGTCGGTACAAATTTGCATTTATGGCACAGGGGGATCATGGATATTCATTTCTGTCATTTTTTTCAGATAATCGAGATATATGATCTTCACAAGATCAAGCTAAAGTACTGGTAAGTGTTGCTATAATTTCAAAAGGATTTAATTATTATCAAACAGCATTGTATTATCATGCAACACATCCCATCAAAGCCTCAGCAGAGTTACAACTTGATACAGAAAACTTTCATCAGTTGGGGATAATGATAACATGAACCGGTAGTTTTTTCAGCTTCTACCAACCTTAAATTTGTTATGCAAGCTTTCATCCACTCCTGTGGACTTTCTCAAGCTAAGTGATCAGTCTGAGTCACACGTTTGCTTCGCTGCACTGCCTGGTGTCCTGTGCAGTGCAGCGAAGCAAACATGTGACTTAGCTTGAGAAAGTCCACAGGAGTGGATGATAGCTTTCATAACAAATTTAAGGTTGGTAGAACCTTAGAAACTACATGTTAGAGTTACAACTTGTTTGTTGAAAGCCAGAAAGATGTAACCTCATTTAGTTTCACACAGAGTTAACGCCCTTCTGGCTCTCAACAGACATTTTCTCCTTGGTATAGCTCTTCATGCTGTTAATGGTCCAGAGGGCAGTAGTCCTGGGGTTGTTTCACAGAGCATTTTTCCAATGACAAATGCCAAAACTCAGTGACAAATCTGCTGATAACCAATCAGAAGCAAGGATTTCGGTAGCTTAAAACAAAAATTGTCATTTGTCACTGATGACAAGTTTTGTGAAACACCCCCTGTTTCTGAGTTTTTAGAAATTAAATTTGAAATGGAATGCCTTTAACATTGTAAATGAGAAATGAATTGTGGATGTAAATGTAGATTAAAAAAAGAATGATGAATGTATATGTAAGTCTGTTATATTTCACTGTACAACATTAGCAGTTGATAATTGATAATCATTTCACTTATGTAGTGATCAATACTCATGTTTCCAAGCATTGCACAAAGCTTTTATTACCCTAGTTATAGACAAGCTGCTCTGATGAGGCACTCGAGCATTCAAGGAATTTGTTCCTACCAGATACACCCATTTACTTCAATTAGATGGAGAGTTACAAGTGTTGATTAATGCCTGCCCAATTACGTTTGTACCATGGAAGGGATTTGAATCCTGTACCTTATGATCAATAGTCCAGAGACGTGTCCACTCGACCATGCCACATGTATAAATAACACTAAAATACAATGGAACCTTTATCTACATCTAGAAGATTAATGTTTAAAAAAAATAAGGTTTATACTTTGGAAAGGAGATTTTTTGGCTAAAATGTTAACTTTGTGCCATGGGGTTATTTCTTCCCAGAATGTGAATGTTGAATATACATATTTTTGCCTTAGAATTACTTTTTTAATGAAACAGTTACGTTCATTATGAAGTTTATTCCCATTGATTTTTTGTTGTTGATGCCCAATCTAAGTATGACACAGGCAGATTAAGTTAAAATGCAACACTTTTAAGTCAATTAATGACAATCATTTCTAAGCTTGGTCACACAGTAGGGGTTAAGGAGTATCTTCTTTTATCTGTCTTTATCTATTAGTGGGAAGCACTTCAACTCTCCGCTCGTCTTGCCGACCATCGAGCAGATAGATGGCTCCTTTGGTGCCACCAAGCCGGCCGTCTACGACGCAGCCCAGCAGCTCTTCACCATCAACTTCAGGGGTCTGTCCTTTCTATTCCCCATCCCGGCTGATGCCAAGTTTGAGGTAAGGGTGGACATCCTTACCGTTCACATTCTTAAAGGACGTTCCGCAGCAAGGCCTAAAAAAAAGAAAGATGTTGTATTGCCCTTTGCGACCGACTCAAAAATCTTGAAATCTACTGTCGGCTTTTTTTTTAACCGTTTTTTGGAGAAAAAATGTTAAATGAAAAGAAAAAAAAGAAAACAAATGTATTAAAGCATTCAAAACTGAGAAATATCAGCCCAAAGAGGGAGAAGAAGAAAAAAGTTTAAAAAAAAGAAGATTTCCGACCGACAGACCCATGTTTTGGCACCTAAAGGGCAATACAACATCTTTTTTTTTTAGGCCTGATGTCCGTGCGCAAATTGGCACATACTATTATAGTTAATTACACTTTTCAATTTCACTCTGTCATTCTGCTCCTTCAATGAGGCCCCCCTCATGTAGTGTCTGCACCCCTTATTAACATTCTAGTTATAGGCCTGGTATTGTCAGGCATCACATGCTATTAAATGTCCAATGGCCTATGAGATTATATATGTTAAAGTTCACCAGCAAGACTTTTCTTGTCACAATTTACTTTGCTACCGCAAATTCCTTTGTGACCAAATAGATTTCCTACTAATGCTTCATTTGCAGCCTAACTTGGGTCAGATTTACTTGGGTGATCTTCTGTTATTGTTTGCCTGGATCATGTGCAAGGTCAAAGTCATATACTTTGGTATCCCCCACAGTGTTATTGTCATGGACTCCCGGTCGGTTAACTACTTGCAAAAACATGTTTCCAAACACAATCATGATTGAAACACAATTGATTCTGTCACAGTGTTTCATTCAGAATAAAAAGTTTGACACTTGGTGCTCCATCAATGAATATACTATGATAAAAACAGGTTTGATTGTAATCCACCTTTATAATTATAAGCTAGTATCTTGGTGGACAGTTGCTAAAATCGATTTTGATTTATCATTATTGATTTACCAATAGAAGCTATTGGACTTATAGTGATTTGCGCTTTATAAAAGCTGAATATTATTATTATTAACCTCAATTGAAAGGGAATACAATTAGCTTCAACAACAAAAAAAACATACATAATGAGCTTCACATGTCTTTGCGATTCTGAGTGATTTAGTGAATAATTTGATCAGTGATTTGATTGATGTGTTTCCATCTCTCTGATAATTAAATTGACCCAGTGCGCTTGGTCTAGGGTCTATACACTTTTTATCATATATTGTTATTTTGCCCAAGAATACATACGGTACCCTAGCGATTTCTAATATGTGGTGTTTCCAAAATAATTTTTTGATGCAACAAAATGTTCTCTCGCTGGTCTATACCTCTACCCATTAAGACATTGTTACTTTTGTTTTGTCCATTTTTGGGGTAGTCGGTGTGACAAGGATACATTACAGTGATTAGTGTGATTCTTCATTCAATGTGTTTCCACCCGTTTCATACAGCAACCGAGCGTGCATGGTCTAGGCTCTATACCGCTACCCAGCAAGACATCGGTGCAAGTCAGCCGCATCTACATCTACGGTGGCAGCAATCCTCAGGAATCAAAGTAAGTACCTGTGGAGGTGTCGTGGTCTAGGGGTTAAAGATAAAGACCAGTTATGGTCATGCGATTGCATTGTGAAAGAAACGTTGTGAAATCGATCAGAAAAGGTTGATCATCTATCATAGATGTACTGCAAGGTTCTGGAATCATCAAAATGATAAGAAATTTGGCCCAGTCTTCATAAAGTTACAAGCACTGTACACAGAAAGATGTATACGGGACTACGCACACGTGCGCGACACATGCATTTTTATCTCTCACATGATGATAGATAAACATATTCTTTCACACGATTGGTAATAAGAGCTTCCATTTCATTTTTTGAAATTTGGGCAATTCCAATACTGGTCTTTACCTTTAAAGTGCAATCCAACCATTGTAATAAGTTAATTGGTATGAAAGCAGAAAAATAACAGAAACAGAATAGCAAAAGTTTGAAATGAATCGGACCAATAGTAAGAATGTTATGAATGTTTGAGATATGAGATCACTAAGTCCATGCGGATTTCAAATTAGTTGTTTGGTCAGTGGATTGTGACGTAAGACATGGGTAACTCTCCCATTTCTTGTGTACAAAAATATCATTAATTTGTGTTTTTCTCGAAGTTCCTTCTCCCTTTTTGCACTACTCAAAATATGTTATAGATAGCACATTATTATAGGTCCTCCCCAGGACTTACAAATAATTGTTTCTGTTCCTTCTTCAGAGCGCCACCCATACCCAGCAGCTGCTTCTGTGGGAATGTGTTCTGTGAGTACACAGAGACACTGGAGCAAGATGGCGTTCCACTCGGTCTGAAATTTCATCTCTTGGTCGATGGTAAGTTAATGTTCTCATTAGGGTCAATAAATTTGAATGTTCCGTCCTTCAGATAGGACGTGAAATGGAGGCACTGTGTAGAGGAGAGTCACCACCTTTGCACGTTAAAGGTAAAGACCAGTATTGGAAACGCCCCAATTTCAAAAATGAAATGGAAGCTCTCATTACCAATCATGTGAAAGAATAAGTTTTGACTAATACATGATGATAAAAAATTTGCAGGGAAACCGCCTACTAATTCATATATTTGGTAAATTTGTTTCTCTCATGGTCTGTGAGAGATATAGGGTAGTCCAATATACATCTTTCTGTGTATAGTGCTTGTAACTTTACGAAGAATGGGCCAAATTTCTTATCATTTTGATGATTCCAGAACCTTGCAGATGCTAGATGCTAGATGATCAACCTTTTCTGATCGATTCCACAACGTTTCTTTCACAATGCAATCGCATGACCATAACTGGTCTTTACCTTTAAGAACCCACAGCACAATTCGTATAAGACTAGGGGAAAAAACCCCTGTGTAGTGGTCCACCTGCACGCTCCCAATCAGTTATACAGGGAGGAGAGAACCGAGAGTTGCAGTGATTTAATTCGCTTCTCGCCTTCCAGGCACAGGTAAAGCCAAATACTTGATAATAATAATAATGATAATCCAAGATATGTGATTTTGGTTGATTGGTACCTGGCTAAGAAAAAAATAATCAGAATTTGTATGGAATGTTCCCTGTAAAATTATTAAGTACCATATGTAGTTTTAGAAAATATGTTAATGTGTATCAAAAATGGGCATAAATTACTGTATTTGATATCTACCAAGTGTAGCAGGAAATGAGTATGGGGAGACTGGTTCTAAGTGAGAATTTTCTGTTACCTTGATGTAGCCTCAGGCCAGAGCAGATCACCAGACGCCAAGCGGCAGGCTGTAGTGAGGACAGTGACATTTGGAGACTCCTGTCAGGATGTCATGAGCAGTCTGGGAGCCCCAAACAAGATCTTCTTCAAATCAGAAGATAAGGTGAGATGAAAGGAAGATGGGAGAGAAGGGAGGGGATGAGAAGGGTAAAGGAGGAGGCAAGAATTTGATAACAAAAGTTAGAAAATCAACATCCGGATATACATGTATTGCACTTTGTAAAAAGGTTGTTGCTTGCCTAATCATGTAAGAAATATTACATATTATACAACCTATAAACTGTTCAGAGTTTATTTCATTCAATTGTCTCACTATTTTGTGTCGCTGTCTTGTTGACACTGCAGCACTAAGCATGTGGCATATTTTATGAAAATTGGAAAAACACCATGTTTTGAAATAAAAATTTCAAGTGTTAGTTCAGCATTTTCGGCCCACTAAGCCTTTTTAATTGAAAAAGAAGAAATATGCCCAGGGTAAATGAAACCCTATATTGTCAAAAAAGGGTATCTGGACTAATTTCATGAGAATTGGCAAAAAGACCACTGTAGGACCAACACAAAAACTGCTCATGGTTTAGCATTTTGGGCCGAAAAATCAAAAAAATTCAACTGTGCCCTTTTTCATGGAAATGTGACCCCAGTTTGTAAAAAGAGGGGTTCTTGACTGCAGCATTTTCGGCAGAAAATAGAAAGTGTTAAATTGGGCCTATTTTCATGTTCTTTCATATCTTCAAGGTAAATGTGACCTCAGTTTGTTGTAAAAGGTATGTTGGCAACATTTTTAGCTTTAGATTCATTAATTCTAAATCTCTCCCAACTTGCATTTTAGATGCGGATTCATTCTAGATCATTCCACAAGGATCAACCCCGGACCTCGGACTACTTCTATAACTACTTCACCATTGGAGTCGTGAGTTATTTCTTATCGCTTTACAACAAGGATATTGTTATACATTGTGTATATAATTACCCGTATGTAAAATCCATTAACCTTTAGTCTTCGCAGTGAACTTGCAGTGTTCCTAGAGCTCAGATAGGTGCTTGCTGTGGTACTGTGTTCAGTCAAGGTATGATAGCAACTTCAAGAGAACATTAACCTATGATATTTTAGAAATAATTGCAAATGGTCTATGTGGCCTATGGAAAAAGTTGTTTTATGCTGTATGCCTGGTTTGACTAGGCTCCAGGTTAGTACACTACATTTCCACTTCATCATGCTAAGAATAGACACATGCACATGCAATGGTCTTTGGTTTGTTACCCTTTAAGACATATTCAGTTTCAATTTCCTGTTGGAGCCAGAAGGATGTTAGTCCAATTAACACAGAGTTAATGCACTTTAGGCTCTGAACTGCTGATGCACATATTAAAGATAAACTTGAGTTCTGGTAAAAAAAGAAAATGAATTCTCACAGAATCTAACGAAACTTACACTGAATGTTCAAGATTACAAATAAATGTCATGTGCCAAACAATTTTGGAAGAAAATGGATACTGGCTGAGTAATGAGCATAGAAAGATAAGGAAATCAGGGTAGTACTAGCCCCGACACCATGTGTGTTGTCCCATATACTTCTATCTGTGTAAGTGATTGTTACTTTACCAAGACTCTGCCAAATTTATGATGATTTTGATGACTCTAGAACCTTGCATTACACACCATTACTTATATGATCAACTTTTCTGATCCATTCCACACCTTTTCTTTCACAATGCAATCGCATTACCAGTACTCAAGTTTATCTTTAATCTTGATCGTGATGTCCTGATTGCTACATGAATTTAGACACTTTCTCACAAAATACAGTGTCATTTCAAGAAATCGAGTTCAGATTTTAACAAAGAATAGTTTCTTTCTCCACTAGACTTTAGAATATAAAAATTTCAAAACATGCATCACATATTCTCCTTTTCACAAACAGGACATCTTATTTGATGCTTCTACTCACTGTGTCAAGAAGTTCATCTTGCATGCAAACTTTCCTGGTCACTACAACTTCAACATGTAAGTTTGTCTTAGAATCATCAGACTAAATATAGTGTGTGTGGCAATAATTAATGAATTATAATTGAACTATTACATTGTATTATGATTTCTCTTGTTTTACCTGTATATCTGCTATAAAGAACCTCTTGCAAAAATTGTCTGATAAGATATATCTATTTTTGTAACTTGCATTGGGCCAGTTTACTGTGAATCATTAAATCTTGAATAATTGTGTAAGCATGTTAACAAAAAATAAATAGGGCCATTCACATTTCTGAAGGAATTTTCATTTCAGATATCGTTGAGTACCTTTCATTCCATTTATCTTATCATAGTTTCCAACTTAACAAAACAAGTTTAAAGTTGCCGATTGTAATGACTATTCCCTTATGCCTTTTCAGAGAGGAAGAAATCTGAAGATGTATTAAATGTTAAAGATAAATAATGATGAGTTCTGATGATGTTGAGGATGACAATGACAATGACCTTGAACCTATCTTCCGCGAAAATATAATTTCCTCAAAAATATTGGCTCATACAGTGCTGCAGTACATGTTCTTGCAGATTTAATGTTATTGTATGCATACAATGTACATGTACTTATCTTTCCAGCAAATAGAATCAGAACTTTGATATCCTACCCCCTCGCACTATATTAAAATCACATTATTATTCAAAATTCATTTTGTACATCGAGTTGAATTTTGTTATTCTTTTGTTTCCAGCTATCATCGATGTAACTTTGAGATTCTCCTCCCCAACACGAGGTTCAACAGGGAAGACGAGCACAACGAGAGCCCTCTCTCCATCACAACATTCACCAAGGTGGGTCAAAGGTCATTCCCAGTGTCTAATAGAAGAAATGCAGTTGTATTTGTTTCTGTTTTTTTATGTCCTTGGTTTTATAAATCAAATTTGAACTTCTAAAATGGCACCACAGAACGAAGTCAGAGGTATAGACCAGTATTTGAAAGGCCCCCCTCTCAAAAAATGAAATGGAAGCTCTCATTACCAATCATGTGAAAGAATATGTTTTGACTAATACATGATGATACAAATTTGGCCGGAAACCGCCTACTAATTGATATATTTGGTAAATTATCGTATCTATCCTGGGGGGTGTTTCATAAAGCTGTTCGTAAAGTTACGCTTGACTTTACGAACGACTTGTATATGAAGTGCCAGATAGGATGCCCAAATTTGTTTCTGATATTTTTAATAACCTCAATTAAATTATGGCAAAAAATATACTTTGCATTAAAAATGTTTGTTATCATAAGAATGTTAATCTACATCTGCACAGTTCAACTTTATTTGATATATTTAATAATGATTGAGCATCTCATTTGGCTTTTCATATATAAGTCGTTCGTAAAGTCATACGTAACTTTACCAACAGCTGTATGAAACACCCCCCCCCCCCCAGCCCGGATAGATATAGCGTAGTCCCATATACATCTTTCTACAGTGCTTGTAACTTTACCAAGGCTGGGACAAATTTCTTATAATTTTGATGATTCCCGAACCTTGCAGTACACACCAATATTTATATGCTAGATGATCAACCTTTTTTGATCGATTCCACAATGTTTCTTTCACAATGCAATCGCATGACCAAAACTGGTCTATACCCTACATAGTTACATGTACTTTATTTTCTGACTGCATCCTGTGGTGTCTTTCTTGTTATGATCCACCTACAGTGGGACACACTGAACCATCGACTAATACGCTCCACTCAGAAACCAGTGGTTCTCAACAGAGCCTCAGCCATGAATACAACCAATCCGTTTGGATCAACGTTCTGCTACGGAGTACTCAACCTTATATTTGAGGTAAGTGTATATCGAGGGGTCAGTGACACAAAGACGTTACTCCATATTCTGCCAAAGGGAGTATTTGATATCAAAATGTTCAGAAAAATGTGGGCTTTCCCTCAAACACAAACACTTTACTCTACTCAACACCCCATTGAAGTCAATGGCTAGTGAAACATAGACTTAACTCCTTAAGCCCAAGTGCTCAGTGACACATAAACCACTTTTTCTCAAAATGGCCAAAACGGAGTTACGTCTTTGTGTCACGGACCCCTCGATATAATCATCATGTCTTGTTTACCTAGGTTAGCCTCATTATGCTGTTCTCCTTGAGGCCCCTGTAATCATATCATTACTCTATATTTAGCCAAGCTACGATGATAGGTGTTTAACCCTTTATATTTCGCACAAGTAATCTCCCTGTCCCACATTGCATTTATCGTAAGATAGATGTACCAAAAGCTTCAAGATTATGTACAGGTAAATGTTTTTCATACAAGGTTAATCTATACCAGTGTTAAAAGGTCGTTGTGTTGCATAAAGCAATCCTTTCGTCAGTTAGTGCCTCTTATTTTGTGCAAAATTAGGTGTGTGTGGAAAAACAAGTAGCCTTGGCGAGAGGGGAGGAAAGCAACCGAAGTGTTAAGCATTCAAGGAATGTTATCATTTTTTTCATTTTCTTGATTTCTTAACAATTTACTTCTCTGGGTGGAGCGAGGCACGTGCTGTGGCAGAGTTTGAATGACATACGGTAGACAATATCTTTCATTCAAATTCATGAATGATTAAAAAGTTTAGATCAAAATTGTCCATTGATTGCCAATGATGATTATTTGTTATCATCCGTTTTCCGTTCTCCATCTTCCTCTAGGTGATGCCCAATAACCATCTAGCATCAGTCACTATGTATGACCCAACAGTAGCTTCAATGGAGACTTTGGACTGAGGGAGCCTTAGACCTGGTCTATATTAAACAGACCTGGACTATATCTAGACCAATGATGTAGCGAGACTACCGTAGGTCTTCTTGGTCTTGGTCTTGGTGTCTTTCGGGACCATGAGTCTTAGTGCTAAATGAACGTCAAATAAAGTTGTTCCTCCCTGGGCTAGGTCTCAGACCACCGGACTTAACTTCAGCACTGGTCTGGACCATAGACGGGACACTGGACTCCTGTCTAATGTTCCAAAGCAACACTTAAACTGGGCGATTTCATATCTGTATGAACAACAAATGTTACATTGCTAATTATCATTAGCCTATTGCAGATGGCTTTACTTTTTAAAATATAATCCTGAAAGTAAACCTTCGAGTAGTGTACGTACATACAGTATGTACATATAGTCAGCAGTGGTTTTTTTCTTCCCTCATGAGTAGGAAACTGTACTTGTGAGTTTTTCTTACTATGACATCTTGATAGTAAAAGGTTCCTCTTCGATAGCAACATTTGCAATGTTAAAGGGAAAGTCCACCCCCAAAATAAGTTTGTTTCGATAGAGGCAGAATAATAAGAAAATCAGGTGAGTGAAAGTTTGAGAAAATTCTGAATGAAAATAAGAAAGTTATGAATTATTGAAGTTGTGATCAATCAAATACAAATTGGCAACTCTGTGACTTATTATACGAGCTCTCCTACATTTGCTTTGTGCATAATATTTCATAAAATCATGTTTTCTTCGTTATTGATGACGGAATATATATTTGTTCCTTGCAGGGGGAGTATAGAAACATATTTGCAATTATTATATTTAGGGTGCATGTATGGTTGAAATTTTTCTTGAGGGAAAATGAAAATTTCAGATTTTTTTAGTACTGAGCAAATGGAAGTTGAGCTCGCATGATACGTCATAGAGTTGCCAATTTGTGTTTGATTGATCACAACTTCAAAAATCCTAACTTCCTTATTTTTAATCGGAATTTGCTCAAACTTTCACTGACTTGTTTCTCTCATTTTTCTACTCCTATTAAAACTAACTTAATTTCAGGGTGGACTTCCCCTTTAACTATTGCAATGTGTTGAGTTGTTGATGATTTGTTTTGGAATACTGTATCTGAGGTACATGTATTCCTAGACCTCCATTCTTTCATGCTGTGTGTGTGTACTTTGTAAAGGAAGCATCTCACAAAGTTAATTATTGATGAGGGCTTATTTTACCCTCCAAGGGATTCAGACAGAGTGGTGGAGTAAGTGGAGCTGCAGGCACCCTGTATAGATGAACTTTTAGTTTTTGTTTTAAAGTGGGACTGCACTACTTACAGCTACTTGCGCCCTCTATATAGCAAACAATGCCTAATCGGTGACCATTGGTCCCCCCCCATGATCCTCTTTTTCTTATGTTAAGTGAGAGCTGATTTGATGAGATAACCACTTTTCAGTGACCTTGCAGGGTGGTCTAATCCCTCCTGTAAACTAGTACAGATGGGCTTTAAAGACACATAGAAGTGGGCTGTCATGAGGAATTTGACACAGTTTGAGTGTGTTTAACCCTATATTAACAAGTGTTGTCAGTCTCAAGGATTAGCCTTCAGTTTTATGACCATCAGGCTTTATGATATATGCTCTGCCTTTTCCACATATGGTAAGTTCATTATCTGACATTTGCATCGCCCCAAGTATTTCTTGATTAGCCTACGGGTTTGCTGTGCGCAGACATGTTCACCCATTAATGTTATTTCCACCGAGTCTGGTGTCGGCGAATTATGATCTTTTGCACATATGGAAACTGCCACCCCTCTCCCTTCAATGGTTATCTTTGATGTTTTAAACTCTTAATTTAGATGGATAAATCGCCATAGCCTGCCCCCTTCCTCAACAACATCAAGAAGATAAATCATGATTGTACTTTTAAAAGTAGCTCATGGGCCCTGTGACACAGATTTGCAATTGATTGTACAAATGATTTTTGCAATTTATATTTATATTTATACGTAGTTATCAATTCAATCAAATGCAATAATTAATCTTATGATTTATTGCTAAGCTCCAAATTGACAACGTTGGAGTCAAGATCCCTAGAATTAGTAACATTGCTTTAGACAGCATTATATCTTAGTATTAAACATCAATCGATGGTAGATTCTGAATTATCTTGCCTCTTTGAATGATTAGGCAAAAAGTATCGCATAGTGTATTATATTTTAACTCATTGCACATTAAATGATGAAATTTATGGTATACAGGGGATGCAACTTATGATCTTTGTAGATATAAACAATTTTCTGTCAAATATTGTCAATTTTATTTGAATGATACATGTACATGTCATGTTTATGATGTATATAAACATTTATTTAACATCTGTTAATTATCTAGTAAAAATAACCATTTGTGGATAATTTTTGAAATTTGTTTGATTATGTGTGTCAAGAAGCAGGAAAATTCATGATTATTAAAGGGATAGTTGAGTTCTTGTTTCAGACCGCAAATGTCTTCAAAGTGCATGGTTATTGCACTTATTCTTATTTATGACATTTCTAGTGTCCTTTTAGGTCCTAAAATTGCTGCGAAGGTAATTTTAGCCCCCAAAATGTGTGGAATTTAGCCAATACGATCATACCAATTCAGCTCTACTTTAAAAAAAAAATGGTGACCGTTAATTAATTAATTAATAAATAATAACAATACATGGGGGGGAAAAGCCAACAAAAAGCCAACAAAAAGCCAACATCGGCATTGGCTGGAATAAAATGTATAAGGTGCAATTTTTGTTTTTCAACAGCTTTTTCAAATTATCTTATACTTGTGGTGGCCGGTACACAATCATTAGGAATGGTAATATTTATGGATATTTCAGTTGTCTCTGAATCGATTTTGATCAAACAAAGATGATTTTGTCATTTAAATTGTATGTTCTTTCATATTTGACACTCTGTTTTTCATTATCACACAAAAAATTGTTTAGTGTAGCGCCCTCTGCAACAGTACTCAACTATCCCTTTAATTTGTGTATGAAAATTATGTATTGTATCACTTATCAGACTTATTACTTTATATATCCCCAGACCTCGCTAGTCTGTAGCAAAATCGTCAATACCTCACATTTTCACGATTTTTCACTCCCCATCCTTTCTCTCACCTTCTCTTGTACCATACACGCTCTCTTGGCTTACATCCCCACATGATGCCCTCAACAATCTATGCAATTATTTTTGCTCCCATATCTCTCTACCGTCCTGCACCAACCCCACCCCTCAGAAACAATTCTGCCCCCATACATTGACCCTCCCATTCACCACCCCCCTTCAAAATATACTTTTCTGTTTGTTTTTAGCTTTCTATACCAATGTCAATTTTAATAAAGATAACATAAATCCCTTCACAATTCATTTGACAATAATATAGGCAACATATATCTTCCTGGTCTAAAAAAAATAGACCACAATGATACATAGTCCAGTAATTAAAAGGAGAAAACAAGATGTCCAATACAGCCGCTTTTATAGAGCAAATTATGAATACACAATAATAAAATGCTTTCCAACATATTCATACAATAACATGTAGACACTAATTTAATCATTTCATTATTACAAAAATGGGAGAGAGAGGGAGAGAAGAGCTCCATGTAAAAAATGATAGGATGGTGTGATTTGATTTGATTTTTTTTTTTTTTTTTTTTTTTTGGGGGGGGGGGGGTCGAGGCTGTTAAGATGTTTAAGATTAAATGCAAATGGTGATGATCTGGAAAGAGTCTAATCTCTTCATTCGTTTAAAAATTGTACGACACATCAAGATCTCAAAAGACTTTCCCCGATAGTGCTCAGATTAGTCCTTTTTTTCTTTTTTCTTCCCCAAATAGAACAGATATGAATCATTCAGAATTTGTTTTCTATTGAAAATACAAGTACATGTATATACCTGACAAGTAATTCATTCTCTGACTCGATCATGACCATAACTTGTATCTAGTTCTTTCTTCAATTTTGCAAAAAAGGATAAGAATGAAGAAAAAAATTGATATCGAACCTTGAACCGCGGGTACACGAGACAAATGCTCTACCGCTGATCCAAACATGCTTAACGCCTAAAATTTTGTTGCTTTTCGTCACCCAGCCAAATTAGGGTTAAGAGCTATCTGGGCCTGCTGTCACCAGGAGGGCCCAGATAGTAACTGACACTAACGTTAAGTTTCTGACCACGGTGGTCCAGGTTCGATTCTTTGGAAAGTTATTGCAATCTTCTAGGGGCAGAAAAAACGGGTCAAAGGGCCGGGTCCGCCCCCGCATTTTCTTGTCATATTTTTTCTTTTTTCGGGAGGGGGAGGGGGATTCCATGAGCCGCCCTTGTTTTAAAAACAAAAGCCTGGAGCCGCCACTGATATTGAACCTTTCGCTTTCTGTTGCTGAAGAAAGTTGAGGCTATAAGAACTATCTGACCATACGTTTTCTGGAGGCCTGATGGCAACTTGCCTTATTGTGAAGTTTCTGAACGCGGTGGCCCAAGTTCGATCCCTTGAAGAATTGTTACAATTTTGTAAATAATATATGCATGTACTTAATTTTATATAATTGAGGCATTAAGTATCTTGATTTAATTTTTTAATGTAAATGCAGCAAAAAAACAATGGACTGTCAATATCTAATCGAACCATAGTGCGTGCTCCGATACCAGAGCTTTTAACTTACGAAAGCATCAACTCTCTCTCTCTCTCTCTCTATATATATATATATTCCACAAACACACTCTGATCTCTCTCTCTCGATCTCTTTCTATTTCTTTCTCATTTTTACCTCAATGACACCTACCTCCACATCTTTCTGTTCTGAAGGGTTTTTTACGTATTAAAAGAACTAGATATTTAAATGCCAGAACAAAGTATTTTAACCCTTCAGTACGATGCGATTAACATAATATTTACAAATCTACAGCCCTAACTATCTTACTGCATAAATGTTTCCAACATGTGCTTGGCAAATCAAAGGGAAAATAGTGAAAGAGAAAAAGAGAGAGAGAGAGAGAGAGAGACTGAAGAGAAA